GTTTCCGAGAAGCAAAGTCAATGGGGAAGTCAGCAGGAGGTTACAAATTGCAATCACGTGATTCCACACTTAATGATCATGTGGGATTCACTTAACGACCACAACTGGAACTGCCAGAACTGCTGTCATAAGTCAATACAGTCATGTGACATCATGCTGTATGACCACGTCACTTAGTGATGGAGTTGGCTGTCCCAATTACCGTTGTTAACCGAAGGCTACCTTTAAAGCAGAAAACTACCTTGATTGGAAGCTTATGTGATTATAATTACTGTGCTAATTCAGTATATTTTGAAAGAATATATGGTTTAGTGACATTTAGTAAGAATATCCCAGTTTGCAATGGGATGATAACTTTCCGAATTTCTCCTGTTCTAGAATGAGTCGTTTCCCAGTATAGGTGAGCTTTACAACATTGCCACCAGACATGAAGAAAAGGTCTGGTCTGCTCATTACATTTCCTGCATTTTTTGGAAAAAGAATTATTTCTTTTAACAATTAAGACTCAAGGGATATATCCATGGTTAAAGATGGTATACCAATTCTCTCTTGGTATTATATAAAGTTAATTTGATTTTCTGCTTCCACTGAAATTCCCACTGTTGCAGCTCTATGACCATATTCAAATTCTGTATCTGTTTAATCCTACAATCTTCCCTAGGAATGTATAAATTATGCCTAAGAAATATTCAGTATTAGACCAGTGTTTCTCAAACTTGGCAACTTTAAGATATGTGGACTTTAATTCCCACAATTCCCCAGCCAGCCATGGAATTCTGGAAGTTCTGGGAGTTCTGGGAAATCTGGGAGTTGAAATCCACACATCTGAAAGTTTCCACGTTTGAGTAACAGTGGTCTAGACAATCTTGAAACCCTCTGAATGCTGTGGAGATCGGAGGAAAGGCCATTAACAGCTGAAAATCGCGGTTTTCACTTTTTCATAAAAATTGCAGTTCCTCAAGCGTTGCTGCTTTGCTATTAAATTTCTACTATGTAATAGGGAAATATTAAGCTGTTGTTTGTAAAACTAGCACCAGTCATGTAGCAATTCCTCTGGTAGAAAACACCCATCTCTCCTTATTTGAAGTTGCACAGGATTTAACAAAGAGGCTCTTGCTTACGCACTTCAGTAATAAAGGGATAATTGTGGAAGTTTGCACTTTGCCTTTGCACCCAGGAGCTGTTTGCACGCTAAGAAGTGGTGAGAGTTAGCAAAGGGAAGAGTTCTCCCATGCTGTCCCTGCATGTTTCTGGCCTGCTCTTAGAAAAGTTGCCCCTTTGTGGAGGACTTTCTGTGTCAGTGAAGTCCATAATCTCCTTAGCTCTACACACAGATTGCTTAGAATTGCACTTCTGCATGAAGAGAAAAGTGGAGTGGATGGACATTTGGGGGGAGGTACACAGTGGAGCTATAGGTAATCTCTCAGTTCCTTCCTTGATGTTGCAAGTTTCCAACACTTCTCCTAAGAAGAGTGCTTGGCCAAGAAAAACATTCTGCACTTCTACCAGATAAGATAAAAATCACTCTCTTGTTACGGGGTCCCATTAAAGTTTTCCATATAGAATCCTTACAGTTACCCCTATGCATGAAGAAGGAAGATTGGCCAAACACTTTGGGGAATACAGTAGGATAGAGCTCCGGGTAAATTTCTCAATCTCAGCCTTGATGACGTTTTATGTTGCAAGATTGCAGTGTTTGGCCCCAACTAATTTCCTAAGGCCTCTATGCTAATCCTGGCTA